TCGAATCGTAGTTTGGACGGCCAAAACACAATCAACCTAGGTGCCAACACAAACAAGTAGGGATGCCCTACATTAACCTAGACAGGAGGCATGATTTGCCTAAGAAACCCCAGCTTTACAAGCCTCTTTAACAAAAGGGAGTTTTCTCTCTACCTAGGTTAGAATGGCAAATAGATTGATAGGCAAACACAGAACACAATCTTCCATGAAAATACCTCCAAACTCATATTAAAGCACACCCACACATAGACAATCATTCCATACAATCAATCACATGATAGGAGTCAGGGTTTACAAACACCCAAGTGAAAAGGGAACTACTCCATGCTAAGAGAGGGAAAAACACAAGGAGAAAGAATAAAAACCATCATGGAGATGCTTGAATCCTTCCTTGTGTAGAAGAGATCTTCCTTTGGGGAAGATTTTCCCAAATCCTTGCCTTGGAATGAAACCCTAGCTTCTTCTCTCTTCTTGATCGTCACTTTCTCTCACTAAAATGTTGAAGAAGAAGATTTTCTCACTCAAGGTTTTCTCCCCTTTTTCCTTCAGCTCAAACCCCTTTTTATACCCAGGTCGGGCTCACATCACGGTCCAAGTTCACAGTCGTGAACTCAAGGCGGGGACCGTGATCTCGGGGCAAAACGTGCCGCATCAATAATACAGTTCACGGTCAGTGGCTAGGGTTCACGCTCTTACTACCGTGAAATAGCTTGAGTCTAGTGAGAGCAAAAATGTCCCTCGACGCTTGGCGGTTCACGGTTTGCGGCTCCATTCCACCGTCTTCCTGACCGTGAACTCACTGCTTTCAGATCTGCTATTGCCTCCATCCTTTTACCCAATTTTGCACCTTTTCGTCCAACTTTCGACTCTGTGGTTGGTCCACCTGCTATAGACTAAAATGCACAAAAGCAAGACAAAACCCAGCATAAAACCAAACCTCCGGAGTAAAAATTCCTCAAAAGACTAAGTAAATCGGGGGTAAAAAGTGTACAATTAAGCCCGAATCACATGGAGCGAGTTCGGGAAAGCTAATTTGAAGCTCAATTTGAGGAAGAGGAGTGAGAGTCGAGACTGGAGGTTTACATGCCATGGAAGTATAGGTTTTTCTTTTACAACAACGAGGAATTGGTTGATTGATTTGGTTCTTGAAACACATCAAACGAAGGCAGGCAGAATCGCCTGAAGACTGTTTTTCTCCCTTCGGAATCAACAAATCCGAATCCTTCTCGGATTAGGATTAGTTTGCTGCTTGTACTTTAATTCCTTTTTAGAGTTGGTTTAGATTTCCTTTTCGAGTTGTAATGTGTTTAGAACTTCCCTAAGAACTGTTAGGATTAGTTAGGTCTATTTAAGTCACTTTGATTCGTTGTAATTTTCAGTTTTTATTCAATTGAATAACAAACCGAGAGTTTGAGTTCATAACATCTTGCCTTGTGGATTGCGAGATCAACCTAGTCGATTCTAGGCTTGATCTTGAGCTTGTATCGTTCAAGTAATCACCTTGTTCGTGGCGAAGCATTGCAAACAACAATCGAGCCTCTTTCCCATCATGAAGGTTGCACAAAAGGTTACCATCCAAACAAAACACAAGACCCTGTTTTGTGTTGTTTCTTATCCAAATTTCTATACAGTCTTTGAATTGAATCCTTATTGTACTTCTCTGATCAAAACCACCTACCTAGGGGGTGAACAATTACAATCTGTTTTCTCTAATCATCTCCTACTTAGTAACCTATATTCCTTCATGACTATTCAAGTTAGCTAACAACGCTGCTAGCTGCAAATTATGCACAACTACCTAATAAGTCTACTCTCAGGCAAACCCATTAGATCTGGAGGGATATGATAATGGCAATCCTGTTCTTCTTCTCCTCCTTCTCATGTCTCATCAACGCTACTACTTCTCTTTCTTCTTCACCTTCTGGTGGCGACAAAACTGCAAGTGCACAGTGTCGTACAAGTAATAAAGTGTAAATAAAATTATCGTTCTCTAGGTGATTGGTGAAATTAAATAATTAACAAATTTAGTTCAAGAAACTATAGGAATTTCAAAGGTTGTAATCAAGTGATGATTTGCAAAGATACGCACAAATTAAGACAATTTCTACTATCATAGTTAACTGAATTAATTAGCCTTAAGAACGATATCCCTAAAATGACTGCATAATTCCCTATTTAATCAACTATCGCTTCGATAAGCAATTATGTCGTGTGAAATGTGTTCGGTTACTAGGTTTTCAATATCGTTATTAACCTAGAAAACTACAAATCATTGTGAAGGTGGCCAATCAACACAAAGCGTTAAACAATTTCACACGATAGCAAATGGAGGAAGAACAAGTCGTGATTAAAACATCGAGGCTAGATAATGAAATCCATAATTTCCCCCATAAATTGGAGGATTACTTCATGATGAAAATAAAGAACATAAACGTGCTAATTCCAACATCATAACTAATTACCAAAACAAAGAAGTAGAGAAAGTACTAAGTGTTGAAGTTAACCCCCAACTTACAAGATTCTTCCTTTCTTCAAAATGCTCAACTCGAAAGTGTGCCAAAGTGAGCTCTCTCCTTTGATTTTTCTCTCCAAAATCTGTCTCCAAAAGTGTCTCCTAAGCTCCCTAGTTGCTGGCCCTTTTAAATCCATTTTCTGTAGATTTAGTCCCACAAAACAAGGCAATTGCAGGTCCCATTTCCAAGAGAAGGCTGCTGCCAGCTTAAGTCTCTCTCCTTGCATTTATTTTTCTCCATCTTTTTATCAATTGGTGAGCCACCAAATCCATTTGCTCACTTCAAGAAAACTGATCCAATTCCAATGATTTACGAGGCTGCTGACGGTTGAGTGAAGATTCTAACTAACAATAATTCCATTTGGGTCTTTATCGGTTTTGTGTCCTGCTGGACGTTTGCCACTGCACGTCTGCACTTTGCCGTTGCACCTGCATTCGTCCACTGCACTTTGTTTTGTTCACAATCTTAGCTTCAATCTGCGTTAAATCGCTACTTGTCTTGGTAATGACACTAGGGCCATTCCATGGTCCATATGAACTAATTTAGAGTAATTTAAACACATACATACGTAAGGATCGATCATTTATGCACAGAATACATGCATGATTATGGATCTTATCACAACCTCACACTTAGCATTTGCTTTTCCCAAAGCAAAAGAGAGAAATAATTGAAAGAGAAGCAAATAAACATACAACTAAGACTCCTAGCACTCAAATAAAAGACACACTACTCCTAAGACTCGACTAATACCATTGTTGCTTGAGTGATAGTGTGACTAGCTGTGGACCTACTATGCTTTGGTGTTGACATCTATGTATATACACTATCGTCAAATTCCACCTTTCCATGCATACCTAGGGTTGCAGGTTAGATTACACCCCATCACATGATGTACCCTCCACGTAGAATAAACACACTAATAGTGGATTGTGCAAAAAATCATTCAAACAAAGAGTAAGGTAAGTTAAGAGTAAAAGCATGGCATCTAGATTTCCTCACTAGAAATGTGTATTTCGCTCAATCACACAAGTGTTTAAGGGTTGGTGTTTACACTCAAGTTTTTCCTTACTAGTGCTTACCTGAACCTTGTTCTTCAACCATAGTTGAACCGATCAGTACAAACACAAGCATATCAAGATGACAACGTTTGGGTAATATGTATAAGGCTAAGGGTTAAGGTGAGGTTTAGAGGAGGAAACGAGGATTCTCACGAGGAATGAGTTACAAAGTTGGACCCAAAGCAAGAACGATCTAATATCGAGGCCTTGAATAAATGAAAAAAATGCATAACATAAGCAAAACTATGACTATACAACAAGGGAAGAACATTGATTCCCCAAGATGATAAATCGATCCTTATTTATTTGCCCCCTTTTCTCTTTCTCTATTACTCTTTTTTTTCTTTCAAAATTTTTTTATTTCTTACTATTTTTTTATGGGGGATGAGACTAAAAGACACTACATTGATGGTCAATACCTCTTTTCTAAGTAGTAGAAGACAAAATGATGTTATAGAAGATGCAGTGGCAGAATGCCTATGTAGTGTCAAACTGCATACTGCAGTGGCAAAATGCATCTCCCAACTATAGCTTCAACTACTACTTTAGAACATCAACTTTATTTACAAGACAATAAAATGAAAATGGGTCACTATATTCACACAAAATACCTCATTCCTCGTGAGAAGGGTTCAACGGGGGATACAAGAAAAGGGTAAAGTTGAGAGGTGTGATCGAACCGTAAAACAAGGCCAAGTCTCAAAGAGGTTGATCCTAGTTGTCAATGATAGGGTGGGATTTTTTGCTCGAGTTGTAATAATTGTCTCTATCGTTTATGCTTGCATGCATACAACACAATCCATTCGTGGTTTTGATCAAGATTACCGAAACACAAAGTAATGAAAAACTTCACACAATAGGAAATTCACGTTGAATGTTCAAACTCACAGCTACTAGATGCCATACCCTACTCTATACAGATTATATTCAATTTCACCTAAGTTGGGGCACAATTCAATTCTAGTGAGTGAATTTTAGTGAAAGGTACGTCATGTGAAACAGGAAATCCTACATGCAAACACAAGTTATGAATTTCAAGGTTAACTTGGGATAACCGAGAGGCAGATTCATACACCGAAGCATAATAAGTTCACAAACCATTCACACAATCATTCCAAGTAACGACATTCTACCCTATCAAGTTCAAGACACAACACATCAAACATAGTGGGAACGACTCACATTCACCAAACATTATATACAACACATACTCTTAAACTAACTAAAACTCTCTACCCCACACTTAGGATGGAACATTGTCCCTAATGTTCTGTACCTAGACTCTAAACATGCTAACACAAAATGGAAAAGTACGCAAAGGGAAAGATGAAAAACCTTGGGATAAATGCTAGGCGGATGAGGTGGGAGGTGGTGGAAGGTCGCTCGGGCAATCAATTCCACTCTTTTTGAGATGCTCGGCCATTTTCTAAATAAATTGGTGTTGGATGTTGATTCGGTGCTGCTGCTGCTGGTACTTATGATCTTGTTGCTCCAATTGTTGTTGTAGGTGAGCAATGATGTCCCCCGGGTGAGTGCCTTGTGGCGGGGTGCTTGTGGAGCGATTTGGATCAACTTGGGGAGTCCTTGAAAATGTTCCTGAGGTGCTGGCAGCGGCTGCTATGATTTCTATTGCACGGGCAGCAGCCAAATCATCTTCTTCTATTGCCTCCTTGGTCATGGTTTTCTCCGCCTTGGCTTTTGCTTGCTCTTCCTTGATTTTGTTGAACTCAGGTATCGATACATACCTTCCTCTTGATGTGATTCTTATTATGTAGTTCATATTGGATAGAGTTCTTTCCTCGATTACTATGGTTCCCTCGCATTTGTCGATGCCGTTCGGATTCTTTGGAAATCCGCAACAAGTTTGGGCATAGCAGTAATGATTCCTCCAAATCTGATGTTGCCCTTTGATCCTTTTGAAGCTTTCTCTCCAAGGAGAACTCCCAACCAATAGCCAAAGTTGAGTGGCTTCTTTGTTACACAACTGTAGAGGAAGCGAAGGTCGGTATTGTGTACATCGGGGTTGTTCTCCAAAAAGCCTTTTCATCATAAGGGAGCTCAGGTTCTGTTGTTGTTGCTGTCCCATCAAATAGCAAAGCCTTGTGTACTTGGCTCAAGGACAACTCAAATTGTTTGCCTCCCAAAGAAAACTGAAACCTGCTGTTGATTCCATCTTTATGAAAGACAAATGTAGCTAGAAACGCCCTTGTTAATTTCTCATAAGTATGAAATCTCATCTCTTGGAATCTAGGTCATCCCATATTTTTGAAGTAATTCAGCACATTCTCCTCTATTCTAGTAATTTTCAGCACATCCAAATCCATAAATTGAGAGGGAATTACCGGCTTGTGGTTTGCCGAAAGTTCCTGGGACATCTACTCCACTATTTGTTGCTGCCGGTTTGATTTTGGAGTAGTTTTGACCTTTTTACTTCTCAGTTGGGTTGTAGGTTGTGGGGAAGCTTGCCTCTTTAATGGTGACTTCTTGTTGTTGTCTTTAGCCTTATATTTTCTTTCCGGTTGAGGTGCATTGTTGCTGGAACGTGTTTCTTCAATGGTGGCTCTCCCGGCTTGGTTTTGGCACTTTCCTTGGCTTGTGGTGGAGGTACATGACTGCTGCAGCTTTGGTGCTCGGATGGCAGCTCCATTGAGTCGTCAAAGGTGTCAATTGTTGCTTGAACATAATATTCCATCATCTGAAGTTTTGATCCTTCCGGTAGAGGCATAACAATAACTCTTTCACTCTCTTCTTCCTAATGCTACCTCTAACAACCCTATGAAATGAGGAGGGTACTTTAACTCCGACAACTTCTGGTCTAGGCTCTGGAACTGGACCGATTTTAGAGAGAAGGCATAGCGCATAAGTCATATCCCACTTTTTGAATTTTGTCTCTCCATCAATGCTAAGTTCAACCACTTGAAAATGGCCAACTCCAGCCCGTTTCTTCCTCACCATGGATTCTTCCCAGACCTTCTTCTACTAAAACTCGAGTAGAAGAAGCTTCTTCTTCGAAGCGTCAAACAAAACCAGCTATGCCATCAAGATATCCCACACAATCGAACAACTCTCAGCATATAACTTTTCTTCTCATGGAAACAGGTCTAGTCATTCTTCACAAATCAGTAGCAACAAAGATGAGAATGATTGAAATTACTTGTTGAGAAGGGAGTGAAAGTTGGTCAACCGGTAGATGCAAAGGAGAGTTAAGCTTCGATGTAGAGGTGGATGAAGGCTGCTCTGGTCGGATTTTGAGGGATTTGCATCTTGAGTAGAGGGTTAAGGAACCCTAAAAACTGGGGGAAAAGTGATGAACAAGGAGTCTGGGGTAAATTGGGTTTGTTTGATGGAGGTGGGTGTAGGTTGAATTGATGGATGTAGTGAGTTCTTATTTTAATTTTGAAGTTTTGGTGGTGATTTTAACAAAACAGAAGAAGAACGAAGGAGACGAAACGAAGGAGAAGGAGAAAAAGGTTGGAGGAGATTTAGGAGAGAGAAGCCGAGTTTGATTGTTTTCTCGATTTGGTTTTTTTTCCTAGTTCTTATATTTCTCTCTTCTTCTTTCTTTTCTTTTCTTTTCTTTCTTTCTTTCTCTCTTTTTTTTTTCTTTCCCCTTTTTCTGCGGGAGAACACATGTAACACCCTTGCCTAGCCAGGCATCACTTTGACCAAAATACCCTTGAGTAATCAAAATAACTAAAATGAAAAAAACAACCGAAGTATCATTCCAAATCATCGTAAGAAATCTCTCTTAACAAATCGTAAATGAGCATCAGTCTCAAGCCTACTAATAAAAGTACATAAGTGAAGGAGTTCAATTGAAGGCTTCTGCAATCACTAACCCTTATGATAATGACATCTCGAATTGCAGTTTCCCTCTGACAGGTGGTCCAATTGCTCCCACTTCCTAGCAACTCCCGAGTGCGGACGTGAGGTCAATCCTAATCCTAGTTTCATCTCTCATACACACACGAAACCACGCATATGCGATGCTCGTATAATTAAAATGCACAGTTTATTCGGAATGGAGTTTTGTTATTCTTTACTTACATATTTTATCTTACAATGGGGCCCCGCCCTCCACTTAGCTAGCGCAAGCGTTCGGTAAACTTGTCATAACATATCTTTACATGACTAACCTCACAATGGGGAGCTTTAACGTGTAAATTGTGCCTATCTAAGACGAAACACCCGCACAATGGGGATCATGCGCCTATCTAAGGAGAAACACCCACACAATGGGGATCCTGTAACGCGTGCGTGCTAGCTAAGCGAGGATTAAACATGTTATTGCTTGTTCTTACTTATTATCTGGGTGATTTATCCTTGCTTGGTCGAATCAATCTCCCGCACCATGGAGAGACGTTATTCAACATATACTTGCTTACTTGCTTGACAACCTAAGCTTGTCAAGGATGATCTCCTCCAACAGAAGGAGATCTAAACTTATAATTTCCATATTAATATGATTTCTCCGTAGAGAAATTAATGCTATGCGTACACATGAACTTATGAATGCACATAATCATCAAATCATAAATGCAGCACTTAAACATATCAGAACTACCACTCAATTAATTCAAGAAAAAGGCACAATTCAACACATAATAAGTAACTGAGGATGAAATACTAACTAGCCCCTTTAACCAACGCACCTTGGTTTACGGTCGAACTTCTTGATCGATGTGAACTTCTCACTTGAAGTGACCGCAAAAGCTCTTCGTTGATGAGATTCCAAGAGCTACGCGTGAGTACCCCAAAAGATTAGTCAATTGAACTGCCCACTCTCAGCGTACAACTCAACCAACTCCTTAACCCAATTATTTATGATTTCCCTTTTGAAGTCCCTCCTGATGCCAAGCTTCCATGTTACGTATAAAGAACTACTTGCATGAACCCTCAGTTGGCTTACATGTGTTAGTAGTTACCACATGGTTAATTGCAGGATCTAGCGTGGTTAATTATAGCCATCAACGCCACCATTGGGTTCGAAAAGTTTGGGAGATCATTATCTATAGAACGAGAGAGGTTGATCTGAAGCTACAGTATCCGGCAAACAGAGGCAACGACGTACCAAGGAGACGTTGCGGCGTCGGCCTCGCTCTCCATTAGCGTCTCGATCAGCTGTCGTGTAAGTGGGTTGCTCAGGATTTGGGGAAGCTTGCTTGCTTCTGGTCGAGGAAGAAGGAAAGAGGAAATTGACGTGCGCTGCTGCTATTTCCCGCTACGCTGGTGAGGTCCGGATGTGAAGCTGCCACTCGCTGTTGTCACTGGTGTGCGACAAGGAGAAGAACGGAAACAGAGGCTGGGGTAATGGCCGGCGCTGCTTAGGGTAGGTTTATATATATATATATATATATATATATATATCCATATATGTATGTATATAGGGAAAGCAGCCGAGGGAAAGGTAGGGTTAGGTTATTTTTAATTAATCAGAGGTTATTTTTGGGAATTAACTAATTATTTGGTTATCGGGTGTGACATTTCTCTCCCCCTTAAGAAAATTTCGTCCTTGAAATTAAGATCATGATAACATAAAATTTGATACTTAACTCTTATTAGTACTGAAATCAGAAAGCTACTAACTGACCATACTTGAATAAAAACCGGTTCAAGAAGTCAAGAACAAATATTTCCATGCCATATAGTCTCTCAATTACCCTCATAGTCACTTCAATGCGCTGGTTCATCCTTTTCATCTTCTCTACAACCACCATCTATCTTTTCCATGGCATAGACTCTAGGTCGTCCCCCAGCTCTAGACATCTGACTATGATCATGACACGCATGGTGGGAATTGATGCTATTGAAACATCCCTCATTGTTGTTGTTATTATTGTTGGTGCTGATGTCGAAGTGGTTAGTCTGGCCACTGACTTTACTTCCAGACTGAGCTCTACCCCCAGCAACTGATGGCTTAGATGTAACCCTCGCACGATCCACAAGTCGTGGACAATTGAAATTCATGTGGCCTGGTTCACCACACTCAAAACAAACACTCTTAGAGTACCTACACACGCCCAAATGATGTTTACCACATGTATGGCAAAGTGGGTACTGATGATGTATCTTTGAACCCTCGATAGAGCTCGTCTGGTCCTGTGACTGCTACTCAGTGGAGGAACCAGACCCCCTCTTGATAGGATGAATCGAGTGTGTCTGACTCTCATTGTAGGTGGATCCTTTCCTCTTCTTCGTCTCTAGCCACGCAGCCTTCTCCTGTTGGGCCATTTCCTCATCCCTCTCAATGCGCAAGGCAGCTCGGTATGTTGTTCCTTGAGACGCCCTCTCCGCTTCTCCCATAAATTTCCTCTGATCCAGCCTCAAACCTCGGACATAGCGATCTCGCATCCCTGCTGCAGTCCGGTACAAGTGATCAGCATATTTGCACAACTTCTTGAATAGCTCTGTGTATTCTGTCACACTCTACCCCCACTGCTGCTTCAACTTCATAAAGTCTTCTCTCTTATCATCCCAGACTATTTGGGGAATATACTCATCGAGAAACATCTTCATAAACTGATTCCAGGTGATCTCCAGAGGTACTACTTCACTCTTCGGTTGGAGGTGCCACCAATCTCTAGCAGTTCCTTGAAGCACTTGGACAGCCATAGCGATCCTGTCTTCATGATTATCGATGCGCAGCTCGTCCAAGGTGCGAGTGAGCTTCAACAACCATGCGTCAACCACATCAGGGTCAGAAGATCCCTCAAAGTCTTTCACACCCATCTTTCTGAGTGCAGCGTAATTCGGAGGTGGGCGTCGATCACCAGCTTGTTGAGATTTTCCGGTATCCATGCTCCTATATAAGGAAACGACTTTGTGTCAGGACCTCGGAAACATTGCACTTGATAGTAGACGAGAATGGATGCTCTAAAATGATTTTAGGTTTTCTTGAAAACTTGGTGAAAAATTCTAAAACACTTTAATACTTGTAGGAAACATGGAGACCGACTTCCTAGTATCTCACTTACAAAGTGAAGACAGAGGGAGACCGACTCTGATACCAAAATGTAACACCCTCACATTGGGGAGCTTTAACGTGTAAATTGTGCCTGTCTAAGGTAAAACACCCACACAATAGGGATCTTGCACCTATCTGAGGCGAAACACCCGCACAATGGGGATTCCTGCGCCTATCTAAGGAGAAACACCCATACAATGGGGATCCTGTACCATGTGTGTGCTAGCTAAGCGAGAATTAAACATGTTATTGCTTGTTCTTACTTATTATCTGGGTGATTTATCCTTGCTAGGTCAAATCAATCTCTCACACCACGGAGAGACGTTATTCAACATATACTTGCTTGACAACCTAAGGTTGTCAAGGATGATCTCCTCCAACAGAAAGAGATCTAAACTTATAATTTCCATATTATATGATTTCTCCGTAGAGAAATTAATGCTATGCATACCCATGAACTTGTGAATGCACATAATCATCAAATCATAAATGCAGCACTTAAACATATCAAAACTAACACTCAATTAATTCAAGAAAAAGGCACAATTCAACACGTAATAAGTAAGTGAGGATGAAATACTAACTAACCCCTTTAACCAATGCACCTTGGTTTACGGTCGAACTTCTTGATCGATGTGAACTTCTCACTTGAAGTGACCGCAAAAGCTCTCGTTGATGAGATTCCAAGAGCTACGCGTGAGTACCCCAAAAGATTAGTCAATTAAACTGCCCACTCTCAGCGTACAACTCGACCAACTCCTTAACCCAATTATTTATGATTTCCCTTTTGAAGTCCCTCCTGATGCCAAGCTTCCATCTTACGTATAAAGAACTACTTGCATGAACCCTCAGTTTACTTACATGTGTTAGTAGTTACCACATGGCTAATTGCAGGATCTAGCGTGGTTAATTATAGCCATCAATGCCGCCATTGGGTTCTAAAAGTTCGGGAGATCATTATCTATTGAACGAGAGAGGTTGATCTTAAGCTACGGTGCAGGCAAACAGAGGCAACGACGTACCAAGGAGACGTTGCGGCGTCGGCGTCGCTCCCCGTTAGCGTCTCGATCAGTTGTCGTGTAAGTGGGTTACTCAAGATTTGAGGAAGCTTGCTTGCTTCTGGTCGAGGAAGAAGGAAAGAGGAAATGGGCGTGCGCTGCTGCTGTTTCCCGCTGCGCTGGCGAGGTCCGGATGTGAAGCTGCCACTCGCTGTTGCCGCTGGCGTGCGACAAGCAGAAGAACGACAACAAAGGCTGGGGTAATGGCCGGTGCTGCTTAGGGTAGGTTTATATATATATATATATATATATATATATATATATATGGTGCCTTCTATGGTACCCCGCGTGAAATCTGGGGTACCACATACCTTAAGTATGAAAACACTATTTAGACCTCGAATTAGCAGGATTTTTGGGCATGATACTATACCCTAACCCTTAATGAGTAACCCTAGGTTCTAATTATCTAAATTATAAACTATAAACCTTAAGATGATGCATTGATTTTTTTTGCCTATATTTGAATGAATCATAACCGTCGATTATTGTTTCTAATTAAATTGATCTTGGGGTATAAGATTTAGAAAATTAAGACCTAGATGTCGATCTTTAAGGGTTAGAGTATAGTATCATGTCCGAAAGATCAATCAATTCAATTTCTGGATAGCGTTTTCTTGCTCCTAGTATGTGGTACCCCGGATTTCACACTGGGTACCGTAGAACTCCTCATATATATATATATATATATATATATATATATATATATATATATATAGGGAAAGCAGTAGGGGTAAAAGTAGGGTTAGGTTATGTTTTAATTAATCAGAGGTTATTTTTGGGAATTAACTAATTATTTGGTTGTCGGGTGTGACATTTCTCTCCCCCTTAAGAAAATTTCGTCTTCGAATTTAAGATCATGAAAACATAAAATTTGATACTTAACTCTTATTAGTACTGAAATCAGAAAGCTACTAACCGACCATACCAGAATAAAAACCGGTTCAAATATTCAAGAACAAATAGTTCCATGCCATATAGTCTCTCAATCACCCACATAATCATTTCAATGCGCTGGTTCATCCTTTTCATCCACTGTACAAGGATTTGGATTGTTGCTTGGTTATCTCGGGCCACTACCCTTCTGGCCAACACCTGGAATGGTTCTATCTTCAGTTGTCCTAACTCATCATAATCTGGCAAGGTAGATTGAGCTTTTACCAAGTTATCAGCACGACGAGCTTTCTTGAGCAAGGGCACATGAAAAACTGGATGAATGGTCAAAGTTGGGGGTAGCTTCAGCTCATATGCCACTGATCATATCTTCTTAGTAATCTGGAAAGGCCCATAGTATTTTCCAGTTAACTTCTGGTTCATTATAGTAACCACTGTAACCTACCTCTAGGGTTTGAGTTTGAGATATACCATATCATTGACTGCAAATTCTTGCTCAGTTCTGTGTCTATCAGCCATTTACTTCTGACGATTTTGTGCCATGGCCAAATTGTGTCTCAACCATCCAAATCTTCTGTTGCTGTAAATTTTATGCTACTACTGTGGACAAAGGATTCCTAATCTCGAAGTGAGTTGGAGGGTAGCCATACAATGCTTCAAAGGTTGTGAGTTGTAGGCTGCTGTGGTAGTTAGTATTGTACCACCATTCTGCAAGAGGCAACCAATTGTACTGATTCTATGGAGTAGTGTGAGTCATACTTCTCAAGTAGTCTTCTAGGCATCTATTGAGTCTCTCAGTCTGTCCATCAGTTTGTGGATGGTAGGGTGTAGAGTATTGTAGATCCTCACCTTGGATTTCAAACAACTTGGACCAAAAATTGTTGGTGAACACAACATCTCTATTAGAAATGATGGTTTGTGACATCCCATGTAGTTTAAAGATCCCTTCAAAGAACACTTGTGCTACTCCTACTGCAGTATAGGGTCTAGTAAGGCTAAAGAAATGCCTATACTTTGAAAATCGATCAACAACTACCAGTATCACTTCTCTTCCAGTAGTCTTAGGAATTCCTTCCACAAAATTCATAGAAATGTGCTGCCAAGCTCTGTCAAGAATAGGTAGTGGCTGCAATAGACCAGGTCAAGGTACATTTTCTGATTTGCATCTTTGACACACATCACATTTTCCAACAAATTCTTTCACCTGCAGTTTAATACCTTGCCACCAAAAGTACCTCTTGATTCTCTGGTAAGTGGCTTGAACTCCATAATGCCTTCTAATGGGAGAGTCATGAAACAGATGGAACCGGTGAACTCTCATAGTCCCTACTGCTCCCACATATAAAGAACTCTTTTGATATAACAACCCTTGTGTGACACTGTAATTCCTTGGTCACGTAAAAAGAATTGATACTTCCATCATTAACTCCTGAACTGCAACATCTCCCACATATGTACTTTCTATTTCAGCTAACCAAGAAGGCAACACAACAGTAATAGTCTTGAATTCCCCCATCCCTTGAATTTAGGATGTCTTGAAAGAGGATCAACAACTTTATTAAATCTTCCCTGCCTATACTGAATGTCATAGTTCAAGACAAGCAGCTTCACCAGTCGTTTCATTTGAATATGAGTAGGGATTTTTTTACCCAGTAAATGCTTGAGACTTTCATGGTTAGTGAGGATAACAAATGGTCAGCCTTTATAGATAATGTATCCACTTTGTGACAGGTAAGAGGACAACCAAATATTCTTTCTCACAGGCTGAAAGACCCTACTGTCTCACCCCCAAAGCCTGACTATGATAAGCAATTGGACGACCTTACTGGGATATAACAGCTTCAATTCCCACATCACTTGCATCAGTTTCTAAATGAAAGGGAATGTTAAAATTTGGAAAGACCATAACAAGAGCTTGCACCATTGCAGATTTCAGCAACTCAAAGGCTCTCGGAGCCACCACACTCCATTGAAATCCATCCAAGTGATCAGCAATTCTTTCAATGGCTTGCTTATAGCTCCATAATCTTTCAAAAATTTTCTATAGTAGCCAATGATACCTAGGAACCCTCTAAGTTCCTTCACATTTGTAAGAACAAGCCACTTAACCATAGCAACAACCTTTCCGGGATCAGTTGAAACTCTATCCTCATTTATTATGTACCACATGTAATCTACCACCTTCTGTGCAAAAGAACATTTGGAGGGCTTGGCAAAGAGAGTGTGTTTTCTAAGGATTTGTAGGGTGATGGTAAGGTGTTGGCAGTGGGAATTTTGGTCGGGATTGTAGACTAGTTTGTCATCGAAGAAAACAAGTATAAAATTCCTGAGTTAAGAGGCAAATATTTGTTTCATAAGGGCTTGGAAGGTTGCAGGTGCATTTGTTAGGCCAAAAGGCATGACTCTTAATTTAAGTGGTCGTGGTGTGTGCAAAAGGCTATTTTGTATTAGTCTTCTTGGTACATTATGACTTGGTGAAAGCCAGATAGAAGGTCCAACTTAGTGAAGTACTTGGAATCTCCTAACTCATCTAACAGGTCGTCAACGACTGGTATATGAAACTTATCCTTGATGGTAATAGAATTCAACTGTCTATAGTTAATACAAAATTGCCAAGAACCATCTTTTTTAAGACTAACAAAACATGTGACGCAAAGGGAATGTGACTGGTTTGGATGAATTTGGAAGACATCATTTCATCTACTAACTTCTTCATATTAGGGGGTCTTATAACATCACCAAATACTCATCGAAAAAGCTCTTTCCAAATTGTACCAATGCACCGGCACCACAGTGCTCCATCAAGCAAGCCTTCACTTCCTTTTTGAGACTTCTCACGGTTCAAAATTCCCTCCCAAGTTGCAGGCAGTCCAACTGGTTTCCCATTACTACAGTTTGAAACTCATTAGTGTATTCACATTCACGGAAAAGATATTGTCTGGACTCACTACCCTTTTCATTGATAATGCATACACAATCTACTATCCTTTCCCAAGATCTAAGGTTTTCTCTTGACACTATGTGATTCAGAATAATAATAATCCAGGCTAGAAATCTATATATTGACAAGGCAAACATTTCCCAGAAAACTTTCCACCATTCTAATGTAGGTCTCTTAACACGAATTTACTCACATATCACTCTACCACAGAACTTAATCAACTGGTTTCCTTGCCATATAACATTGGAAATGTGAGTCCACATGACCACATCCATTCGATATCTGAACCAGGGTCTAAGTTTCATAAGCCATTTTCATATCCAAGATCCTGTAGTTGCTGCTTTTACATTCCAAACTGAGACATTCGCCCAACGTATATTTGTGTATCCATGCAACCCACAAACAGCCCCCCTTGTAGGAGAAGTAGCCAGAGAAATTTGGCTACACATGCCACATTCTAGGTCGATTTATCTTTCAATCCCAGTCCCCCCTTCCTGTTTTGGGATAGCCCAATTATCCCACGAAACCTTTGCTTTGCTCGAGCCATCTCCAAACTATACAAAGTTAGAATGTATCTTTTGAATTGCTTTAAGGACTTTCTTTTGTAGGATAAAGATTGTCATCCAATAGTGAATAAAGGAGTTTATGATAGATTCAACAAACTGGATATTTCTTGTATATGAAAGCTTGCTTGCTCTCTAACTTCTTATTCGACTTGTTAAATTATCCATAAGAATGTTACATTCACGACTAGACAGCCTGCTAGAGATTAGAGACAATCCCAGGTGTCTCACTAGCAATTTGCCCTCTTTAAAGCTAGTAACTTGTAGTTGTAGAGCATTCCTTTTAAACTCAAAGGACACACCATGATAGAAGATCACACAATTTCCTAGATTAAACTTAAGCCCTAAGAGTTGATAGAAACAATCAAGAACTCTCTACATCCCACTTAATGCAAAAGCAAACCCTTTTGTATAGATTCATAGGTCATATGCAAAGCACAAGTTGGTGAGTCCTATCTATCTACATTGAGAGTGATAAGGTATACATTTATCAATAGCATCCCAATTAAGCAGAATAGTAAGAATCTCCATGGCAATTATGAAAAGGTAAGGGGACAGTGGGCCCCCCTACTTACCCCTTTTCAACTTTGAAGAACCCAAACAAACTGTTGTGTACAGTAACACTGAAATAAGCTGATGTAAGTCAAATTGTTAACCAGTCTAAGAAATCAAGAGGGAATCTCATAGTCCTCATCACTTTAAACAAATAACTGCAACTCCCATAGTCAAAAACTTTCATCAAGTCTATCTTTATTGCACTTCTAGAGGTAATTTATTTTCTATCAAAGTTTTGAACTATTTCTTGGCTCATCAGAATATTCTCTAGAATGCCTTTACCTTTTAGAAATGTTAATTGGTTTCTACTAATAACTAAAGTTAGAACCCTCTGTAACGTGTTAGCCAGCACTTTTGAGATTATCTTATAAATGGCACTGATACAAGCTATACGTCTATAGGCTGAGAGGCTACAAGAATTTGGAACCTTGGGAACTAGGGTTAAAGATGAAGAGTTTGTACCTTGTGGAATCTGCTTTCTTCTACAAAATTGTTTGATTCCAGCAACGATATATGTGCCAATCACTTTCCAACACTTCTGACAACAATTCACCGTCCATCTATAAGTTTCTAGGGCCTTTTATGCATCCATTTCAAATTTTCGACGATAGGAAACCAAGTTAGAGAAGCGATAAAATCCATCTCTAATAGGGAAACTTCTATGAGCTCTTCTTCCATGATAGTTCCGCGCATAACGTCACGAGATCGTCTACAAGAGAGGACGAGAACATGTCGAGGGATGGCGCCGATGGAGCAAAAGAGAGTGGAAATTAGAGCTCTTCATCTTCTGTAATTTTAGGGAGTTTGTAGTGTTGAAGTTTAGCATTGAAGAAGGGAGGCATAAATCATGATGGAGAAGGTGGATAAATGGTTGAGTGAGGTTCCGGATTCGTGCAAGTAGAGATGGAAGAAAAAGTTGAAGGGATTAAGCCACACCAACTGACATGCTTGAATCAACATTTGATTTGATCATACCATGGGTTGCGAGTAGCAGGGTTGAACACAACCGGGTCAATCTAGGTATGAGCGAACCGAAGGGAAACCAAAAATATTTTGAGAGCTGGCAGAGTGATTCAAGGGTGCATTAGGGCAAGCATGGTTGGGCTTACCATAGGCCTATAGTTCGGTTCAGTTTGGAGAAACCGACAAAACTGAATATTCTCTTTCCCCAGACCTCTCTCTCTCCTACCATCGCCATAGCTCTCCGTTGTTATCCCCACCGCTCCCGCAACATGGCGACTCAAGTTATTAGGAGGGAATAAATATATAACCGCCAACCCATAGTCATCTGTATTCGGGAACTAACACGTAACTTCTCATTCCTCAGATGATAAGACAAATCTTTGTTTTTTACTCTTTTTCTTTAATCTTCACAATATCTGATACGCTTCATGAGGTTTTTGGTGTAGTTTCACGTCTTTCTAGTCTGCTTCATGAAAGTTGTGGTGTGATTTCACATATTTTTGGTCTAGTTCATGATATTTGTGGTTAGCTTTATGAGTTTTCTTGTACGCTTTAGGAAACTTGTAGTCAGCTTGATGAGGTTTCTTTCTGGTATACTTTATGAGTTTTGTGATATGATGAACTTTGTAGTATTTGTGGTGTGTGTTTTACATTCTATGGCCTTTTATGAGGTATTGGTCCAATTTATGAGTTTTGTGGTGTGCTTTGCCTGTTTCTCGTATGGTTAGAGTTTTTTATCTGTTTCATGATACTTTTGGTCAACATTATGAGTTTTTTGGTATGCTTATGGCAATATTCAGTCATCTTTGAGTGTGCTGGTATATTTTGTTAGTTATGTAGTGTGGTGGATATTTGGCCTGCTTTATGAGCTTTTCGATATAGTGTTTTTTATGTGATTTGTCATATTTCTAGTATGAGTTTTCTGCTTTGTTTTATGATACTTGTGATCGTTGTCAGTTTAAGATGAAATGCAGAATATAGGCATAGTACCATATAGATGTTGCTCTGATAATTTTTAAAAAATGACAAGCGTGCCCCTATTTTTAAAATCAACATTAAAATGTGGAAACATCCTCAAACATAGAAATCAACAAAGAAAAAGATTTATGTTGGTTAGGTTAGTGTTATCATCATGCTAACAAATTAAATTTTAGGAGTCAGAGCTTAATTTGTAGAGCACCAAGTTGCAAATAAGAGACTGATCGAGCTTCCAACATCACAAGGCTTAACAATTTGGGCTTCCTATTGAGGAGGTTTAGATTAATGATTAAATTAGGGCATTCCATCTCACAAATAAGTTAATTTCTAGACCGATCCAACCTCCAACATCACAAAACTTAACAATTTAAACTTACTATTGAGGAGCGTTAGATTAATGATTAAGTTAGACATTCCGGCTCTTACTTGAACCCATTTTCCATAAAATTAAGATTTCGTCATTCGGCACAAAAAGGATTAAACTATATATTACATCTGGTAGCACAAATGAAAAAACAAACAAACTTTCTTTGCAGCAGGGCAGGTTGCTCTCAATTCCTTCTCAACTTAACAGACAAACAAAAAGTGAGAAATTTTATAATGCTATATAGTATTGGTGCTATAGGTTTTTACCTTTATGGTACAACTTAAATTTGTACATTTATGTTATGGTACAACTTTAGATTGTACCTATACTTTTTGTACAAATTCTTTTGTGGTACAACTTGAACTTGTACCTTTATGTGATGGTACAACTTCAAGTTGTAAAGTTGTACCATAACATAATGGTACAAATTGCTTTATGGCACAACCTAAACTTATACATTTAATGTTATGGTACAACTTTGAGTTGTACATTAAAGCACAAATACTATATAGCATAGTAGAATGGCTCAAAAAATAACTTTGTTAGAAATGGGAAAACCCAATTCTTTCACTCCAAACACCAACCACAATCCTTATCCGCATAACCAAAACAGTTACCCTACAAATTACAAACTGCTCCATAATCAGTAATCACACACACCCCTGCTTCTTCTCATCTACCCAAACAAATACCCCCAATTTATAATCCTTCTCCATTTGACCTCAAAATTATCATAACCTACAAACTAGTCATCCTTCTCCATTTGCAAACAGATTTCTGGGTCTACCTTCTCCTGTATGTACCATTATGTCACCATCTCTGTACCAGCCTACCAAGGTCGTCTTCTTCCCATATTTTTTCAGAAAAGAAAACCCAACTAAAAAATGGAAAAATGTTAACTTCGCCTTACCCAGCAGCTTATCCCAGCTCCTCCGGCCGGTCGAGAGATTGGACCCGCCGGCGACCTGAAACCCTCCGTAACCGGATCATGCACACACCAGTGGAACTCCGGGTCTCCACCCCTGGAACACTCTTCACAAACCACGCCTTCGCCTCGGCCCTCGCTCATCCGCGATCTGTCCCCCGAGTCCAGGCTCAGCGATTCCAGTCCCAGACGGGAGAGCAATCCCATGTTCATCAGGTACCTCTCCTTCTCCACTTGCAGCTCCTTCATCCGCCTCTCGTACCCGGACAGCCCCAAATCCAGCTCCCGAGGAAACCCGTACCCGTCCGTGCCTCGCCTCAGTAGCATCACGTTCCCCGGCAGATCGAAGCGGCGGCGGCGGTGGCTCTCCGCTGTTGTCCGCACCGCCACGGGGCTCCTCCGCCTCCGTTCGCGCCTGGATCGCTTCAGGAGCACCTGGAAGAAATACCCCTTGTTCTGCATGACTGTGGAGAAGTTCGTCTTCTCCGTGACCGGGATTCGGAACCCGCGGCGATGCCTGTCGCCCACGTGGACGGAGAATTGGTGAAAGGCGAGCCCGATTCGGTTGCTGATGGTCGATTTGAAGGCCTTGAAATTCATGGAAGGGAGGAGCAACACCCGGCCGACATTGATCTCTTGATCCCTGTCGAGCAGAACCACCGGAAACGACAGCTCCGACACCACTGCCGCAGCGATCGCCTCCTCCTCGTCCCTCATCGCGAAATCTATCATTTGCTCGTGAAATTGAAGACCAGCAAGGATTTCTACCCAAAAAAAAAGAAGACCAGCAAGGATAGAGTGGGGAATGGGTAATTCACTAATTTGGGCGAAAAGCTCTACATGGGAGAAAGCAGGGAACGGGGTTTGCATATATATATATATATATATCCATGGCGCTGGCGGGTTTTAAAACCATCTCTGGAGTCTGGACAGTGGTGAAAGAAAGAGGAAGGCGGTGAGGGTATTTTGGGGAATAAAGAAAATAATTTAACGGCGTTAGAGAGAACGTGATCTCCGAGCCGAGTACTCAGAGAGACGGAGTATATAATCGCGGGTGACGCCAGGCTTGGGGGCCAAGGAAGCGAAACTCGGAGGTGAAACGACACGGGATGAGGTCGTGTGAGGTTCTGAGAAGCTCGCAGCTCTATCTCGTCGGCGATGGACGAGACTGCCCGTGGAAACCGGTCAAATTGTACAGGGTACCCCTGCTTATCTGCAAGAAGAGCAGTAAGCCTTCTTCTTCTTCAAGCTCCAGTAATGGCTTCTCTGCCGCGGTTTCGTTATCAGTGGAGAAAGCAGTTGGGGCGGCGACCGCCTTCTCCATGGAAAGCCCACCCCGTGGGTATCGTAAAAATGTCGGGATTTGTCTCGTCAATCCCACTTCCAAAATGGTTCGAATTCGATTTAATGCCTTGAGATGATGTCTCCTTATTAGGGTTCTTCTTTGTTCCCCATTTTTCAGTTTAGTAATGGTGGTTGGTTTCCATACCTAATTTGCAATTAGATTTTCGCGGCGTCGAGGATAAACATCCCGGATACTTGGCAAATGCCTCAGGTACTCTCATTTTCTTATCTGGGTAGTATTATCTAGTTGAATTGCAGGCTATGGCAATTTATCTGGGTTACCACCATTTCTTTGTTTGGAAGTGATGGGTGGACTATTTTGTGGGAATTTCAATGAATCCAAAATTCAAATGGTTTACTATGACTATCTGGAAGTGACATTGAATGCTAAAAGTGCTTGAATTTGTCAAGTCTGATAAACTCTCTATGATACTGTTGTTCAACAATGGTGTGATTGGTGTCTGTTAGGGAGGCCCTGACGACGGAGAAGATCTCAGAAACGCGGCAATGAGAGAGTTGAGGGAGGAAACAGGAGTTACTTCAGCTGAGTTTCTTGCTGAGGTTAGATGCCATGCTTGTTATCTGGTTTACATATGACTTTGCCTGCTGCTTTGGGTTTTCATGAAGAACTTGGGGATTTTGTTGCAGGCACCCTACTGGCTGACTTATGATTTCCCACTTCCAATTAGAGACAGGCTTAATCGGAGATGGGGTACCAACTACAAGGGTCAAGCTCAAAAGTGGTGAGCACTGAGCAGTCCATTTATAAGTCAACTAGAACTATTAGCTCCGATGATATCCATACAATTGTTACTCTTCAGCACAATATAAAGTACATGCTGATACAGACCTTCTGGTTTGCACTTGGCCTTGATTGGGACTACAAATTTACTTTCTGTGTGATTATCTTTGCCGTGCCCAGAACAAAAGTTGACAGTATTTATCTTCTGTTGAAATGAAAGTTGGGGTTTCATTGTGATGCCCAGTCATGTTGATATCACGGTGTGATTAGTCTCTTCTAGCTGGCAGTAATGAATGTGTTCTCTGTTAGCAACTCTTTTTGCTCATTATGAACAATTTGTTGTGCGGCGAAAACAAGTTTCTTTTCAAGTTTACTGGAAAGGAGGAAGAAATTAACCTTTTGGGAGATGGATCTGAAAAGCCAGAATTCAAGCACTGGACATGGATGCCACCTGAGCAAGTCGTTGAACTTGTGAGTTAACTTAACCCTCATTATCAATATCATAAAAGCTTCTCCCTTTTGTTGCAGTTATGATTTACTGCTTATACACAGGAAAGAGTATAACTTTAAAAAAAAAATTATATACTTGTCTCGTGTTTGTTAAAACAGGCTGTGGATTTCAAGAAGCCAGTATATCAGGAAGTTATGGACTTGTTTAGTCCATTAATCCAGGCAGATGGCGATGCTAAACAAGATGAACGTTTTGTTAAAACAGGCTGTGCATTTCAAGAAGCCAGTATATCAGGAAGTTATGGACTTGTTTAATCCATTAATCCAGGATGACGGCGATGCAAAACTGCAAGACGAGACTAGTTCCAGACTCCATACCGAGCTATCTCCAGTAAAAACTAGAGGAGTTGGAGGAGGTACCGCCATCTTCAGCATCTGTTGTACCCGGCTGTGAATGTTGTTTTCATCCATCGAATATCTTATATCGATGTTTAGGAGAACCTATTTTAGAAAGAAACCCGAAGCAATTCGTTATTCTTGCCCATGCTTCCCGAGTTCAAAACTTTCAGAGGATCAAAGAAAACTTTCTGAAACGGTAACAATGACATTTTACATTCTAATGTATTGATGAATGCTGCAAAACAATCAATCTGATGGGAAGCCTTACCATCCACCAACCAAACCTTCTTCTCTTCGGAACACTGACTGTTTCCCTTTCCTTTTCTCATTAAAGCACTCTCAATGCTAGTGCAATGCAACTCTTTCTATTGCATTTATGAGAGGAGGAAATGAGTGTTACTTCAGCTGAGTTCCTCGCTATGGAGACGGGGTACCAACTATGAAGGTCAAACTCATTAGTGGTACGAACAGTTTACGTCAAATGGAACGTTATTATTAGCTCGATAATACGTGACCATTTGACAATAATGAATGAAGTCTCTGTTACCCCATTATAACCTTCGTATTGGGCAACACTACAGGTTCCTCTTCAAGTTTATTGGGAGCTGATCTGAGAAGCCGGAATTCAAGCACTGGACATGGATGCCACCATAGCGAGTCGTCGAACTTGTGAGTTCACTTAACTCTCATCATCATCATTGTTATCATAAAGCTTCTTCCTTTTGGCTGCCGTTATGAATTACTGCCCGTAGACAGGAAAAAGAGCAACTTTTATTTTATGTACTTGTCTCGTTTTGTTAAAACAGGCTGTGGTTTTCATGAAACAGTCTACCAAGAGGTTGTACAACTGTTTATGGGAGATGGTGATGCAGAATAGCATGAAGAAATAGCTTTACGAAACCCTACCGTACCGGCCGGTCGGATCGGAAATACCGGATACCGGACTCAAAACAGTAGGCAGTTTTAGTGGTAGTAAACGGTTCAATCACAGTTAAACCACGATTTTAGTACAAAATACTCTACCATTCACTTTTCCAGTATAACCTCCGATACAGTTTTCTAAGAGGAAGAGAAGTAGGAACGTGAGGAGATGTCTCACTCTCTAGTGTTGGTTGTACTCAGTAATGAACGTTTTGTCATCAAATATCGGTGTTTATGGGGAACAAAGTCTAGAAAGAAACAGCAAGCAATTCATTGTTCATGACCACTTGCCAAGTTTACAACGTGATAGGAAAAAAGAAACAAGACTTCTGAAATCTTAGTACAATCCATATGATTTCTTTTTTTACTGTCTAAGAAATGGATGAATGCTGCATGAATAATCAATGATCAATCTATGACTAAGTGCGAAGCTTTGACAAACTGCTGCTCTCTTCAGCCATCTGCTTTAGGAATAGGGTCGGCTTTGTAAAGTAAGAGTGGCTCATTTCCAACATAAGCACAGGCCAGAGGCCTTCCAGCTGAAGTTGGAGGCGAGAATGCTAACTGAGAGCGTTCAAGCTTGCAATCCTCGCAGAAACTTTCCCTGCTTTAACGAAAGCCATGTTAACCACAAATTGCAGCATTATATCAACATGGGAAAAGTGGTGAGAAGAGAGGTTGCAAGTTTTCAAGGACTGTTACCTAGCAGCATCCAGTAGTTGAGTGGCGATTCCTTTTCTTCTGTTTGAGAGAGTAACCCAGATTGCTCTGATGCCACACGCAGCAGGAACAGATTTCTCTTCACACACGACTGCGCCAGTAATAATCATCTCCTGGGAACTAACCGCGGTAATCTTCTTTGTGGCTGCTTCCCTTTTGAAGATGACATCTCCGAACTTGAGAGATCCCCCTGAGTTTGACCTTGAATACTTTCTAATAGCTCCAGAATCTGCCTTTTTATCTGTGGATGAAGAATAAATCATCTTGAATGCTTCTTTTATTGGTTCAGCAACCAAGCAACCAGCAATTCGGTTGGATGAAACGTATAGATAGACCTGCAAAGAACAGTTGAAGGAAAACCGAGAACAATTTTCTCATTACGAAATCTAGATCAAATGCAAAGTTGAGATAACAATGCATCAGAAATCCCCAGATGCATAATTTGACCTTGCAGAGTTCATGAAAAATCCACCCATCATGGAGCTCAATCTCCATCATCTTTATTACATCCTTAACCTGCCGAGGAATATGCAACATTCCCTTTATTGTCACTGATATGAATCGCAAAGCTCTTAAATAGCGATGATAAGCATCCAGGGTTTTCGAAAAAACTGGCCCTTTCTAAAACCCTAATCACATTACCTTGGTTTTATGAGGCGAAGGATCAGAATTCAGTATCAAAATTATACGGTCCCCTCCGCTGCAAGCCATGGGCACAGCCCTTTCGTTCTGCCAACCCTAGTTAACCAAAACCCCAACTCCACCAATTGCATCAAACCAGTGAAAGAGATACCAGAATTTCGCGATATGGAGGGGTCTTAGTTCTTACCCGGAAGGGAATACCATGGGTGAAGTTTCTGTGAAATGATTTATGGACCTTCTCATCCTGATCATCTCCCGCAGCGTAATGAAACCCACAAGAGGAGCAGCTTCGGAGATTGAAATCCGATTGCCCCAAATCTAAATGGAGCTGCGCGTAGCTTCTCTTCTTGCCCAAAACCTTCCCACCCGAATTCCTTGAATGAGGTTTTGAGCAGACTTCACCTGAGTCAGACGCGTCTACCAGGTCGAATCCAGATCCTCTAGCGCTTTCACTTCTCCGATCCCTGACAAAGGAACAAATAAAACAGAACCCGTTGCAACGAAAGGGGATAATGGATATGAGAAAGAAGATCCAGTTAACTGAAGAGCGAGCTGAAGAAGAAGGAAAATGGGTTACCCATTACTGGATCTGGGAGCTTTGCGGCGGCTGTAAGTGGTGACATCGCCGGAAGGTGGGTCAGGGGCTGCGGCGGCGGCGGCGGCTTGTGAAGACGAAAACGAAGGCTTGAAGAAGGAGCTTAGTTTGGATTGCATTAATTTAGAGAAAGAAGAGAGGCGTGGGTGGGGTTTGTGCAGAAGAATTTGGAGTGCCGGTTGGGGAGGAGAAAGATTCCGTCGATCCGTGCGCGCGGTTGGTTGTGAGCTGTGCTCTTATTTCAAAAAGTGTACGTTCCCGCTTTCCAGAGCTATACTTTCCCGCCTTTTTATTTCAGGAATGAGGTAGCATCGACAAATTGCATCCGGCTTGGCCCACAGATCCGTATCAGGTAATTAAGAATTTAAGATTAGGCGATAGTTTGCTTGTTGTATTTAAAAAGGCATTGCTATTCGTCGCCCTAAAATTCCTTATTTGTCGCCCTAATTAAATTACATTTACTTCAATGCCCTTAGTTCATTTATTTGTTTTTCGAGCACTTAAACTCCAAATGGAACTCATATACTACACCAAATAACAAAATACAATCAAAGAAACAACAAGGAATAAGGAGAAAACCAATCATTCAACAAAAAAAACCAAACAATCAGTCACACCCAGTTGGAATTCCCGATTTTCAACGAGTGATTAGTCATGAATGGTAATTATATCATGAAAATGTTAAACCTAATTAATCCCTTCCTACAGGCAATCAAGAGAGGGATTTATTCCCCTCCACCTTCTTGCAATTTGGCCGAGAGACAGCTGAATCCAAAGCTAATAAACCCTTTCACTCATCATAATCCAAACGAGAAGCCACCACCATTCCCTGCTCTCATCACCAATAAGTATTTTCCTAGAGGACCCTCGACGCAGCAGCAGCCAAGAGCAGCGGCGGACTGAGAATTTGAATTGGGGTGAGGAAGGGAATAAGGATTGTTTGGTTAGTGTCTGGATCTGAAATTGGGTATAAGGATAAATACGTCAATTTGTTGCTTTTTAGGGCGATAAAATTTGAATTTTAGGGCGACGAATAGCGATTCAGTTTAAAAGGGCAAAGGTTAATTACATGGTTGGTCACTGATATTACAAAAAACGTTTATGTTTGGTCATTGGAAATATTTAAATCTAATCTTGGTAACTCAAATTAGTTAAATGGTTCAAATTTGGTCACTCTCCGTCCAACTCCGTTAAATTTGTATGATGTGGCAGTCAACCCTCAAAGTTGACCGTTAACTCGGTGATGTGGCAATTAAAAAGTAATAAAAAAAATACATTTTAATCTTCTACCATTTCCAACTCATTTTCACAATAACGTAAAATAAATAAAACAAAAATATTATTATAGTTACAAATTGAAAGGGTAGCTTCCTCCTCCGCAGCCACATCCCTTCCCCGCAGCCAAACCAGCTCCCAATTCCCATCCCTAGCTTCGCCCGCTGCCGCCATCCCCTCCGCCCCCGACCATAATCACCTGCACCCTATTAATTCCTTCACTTTAGGGAATTCATCTATGAATTATATGCCCTCGTGAGACACGCGCACTTACTACTATATATATGTACGCAATTAATCTTCATAGTTCATAATCTACATTTACCTATCAGGGGTGTCCCTCACTACGAATTATAAATTTTTTACCTATACATAAATTACTATCGTGGGTTGAATAATCGTTTCCCCAAAATTTAGGGGTGTCCCGGAACACACTGAACCTCCGTGCGTCCGCCCCTGCCTGGACATACATCGACACCCCAGACAAAACAAGAAAAAACATATCTTACCTTACCTATGTCTACAACTCATCGTCACCATCATTATCTAACAACGCCCGGCCGGCTAGCGACGCCTCCGGCCGCCATCCTCCGCCACCTTCCCCACCGTCAAAGCCTCCCCATGAACTCACTACAAATAATATTGCACCCTCATCGTCAACGAAATACGACGCCTTCATAAGTTTTCGGGGATAGGACGTTCGCGACTACTTCCTCGGCCACCTCTTCCGCCATCTCAACGAGGTTAAGAAGTTGGAGACGTTCAAAGACGACGGGAAGCTCAAAGGAGGAGATGAGATCTCGCTTGTGCTGTCGCGAGCAATCGAAGGGTCGGCGCAGTAGGCGGAGAGCGGGCGGGGACGACGGCAGGGAGCGGAGCTAGGATGAGGAATTGGGAGCTGATTTGGTTGCAGGGAAGGGATTTGGTGGCCGAGAAGGAAGCTACTCTTTTAATTTGTGACTATAATAATTTTTTATTTTATTTATTTTTCTTTATTATGAAAATGAGATGGAAATGGTAGAAGATTAAAATTTATTTTTTTATTATTTTTTAATTCCCATTTCACGGTCAACTTTGAGGGTTGACTGCCACATCACACAAATTTAATGGAGTTGGACGAAGAGTGACCAAACTTGAACCATATAACTAATTTGAGTGACCAAGATTGGATTTAAATATTTCCAGTGACTAAACATGAACGTTTTTTGTAATCTCTGTGACCAACCATGCAATTAACCTATTTAAAAAATGATAGATTATGGAAAATATGTTTGATTTATGATGAATTTATTTTATTATGGATTTGTAGACTTTATTGTTTTCATGATAGATTTAATTATATATTTATAATGAATTTGTTATAAAGATCAATTGTTATCGGAAAATCTGATCAATAGCAAAGAACGGAGAAAGATCCTAGCTACTAGTCAACTTCCCACTAGTCTAAATCATACTCTTCTGGTCGATCGCTTTATGCAAGGTATTATACAAGATATTATCAAAAGTTTTAGCCAACAGGTTCAAATAAGTCCTCAGCTTTGTGATCACTGAAACTCAGAGTGCATTTCTACCTAGAAGAAATATTACGGATAAATGGATAATATAATGGTGGTTTTTGAGTGTTTTATGTAATGAAGAACATAAGAGAAGGCAAGAAGAGGTACGTGGCTGCTAAGCTAGACATAGTGAAAGCGTATGACAGGGTGGAATGGAGATTCTTGTAAGGAATAATGTTGAAAATGGTATGGGTTCACATAATCATGCAATGTGTTACCACAGTGAACTATTCTGCATTGATCAATATACACCACAGGGATCAAGGTTTGCGACAAGGGGACCCTATCTCCCACTATATATTCCTCCTTTGTGCAGAGGACTTATCAACATTGAGATAAAGGTAGTGGAGGAAGGAAAAATGAAAGGAATCAAGATACACAAGGATGGGCCGGTAATCTCTCATCTCTTCTTTGCTTATGACAACATTTTTTCC